GATTGATTGCTATTCTTAGTCTATCTTCTATACTGTACGAATTGCTATTTTTTCTCTGTCCTCTATTATTATACGGACCGCTAATCTCTATTCTATTCACTATACTTTCTCTATTCGGATCACTATACGGATTACTATTCGAGCGAGTATTATCGAGCAAGTTATATTAGTGCGAGTGATATACGAAGGCGTCTGACACTAGTATTGTTCAACGGCGTTACTATAGTTGTATCTGCGATTACAAAGTCTCTACTACAACGAGTTTTACGAAAGTGGCAACGATAATTCGTTGGCATCACAAAAGTGTCAAACGATTGTTCTTTGACATCACAAAAAAATAAACGTCATTATCGAGATGAGGACATTTTATATTAACAATAGAAATCGGGCGCGAACATTTGTAATGCTTTAATACGACTGTAGCCATGCTTTATCGTAATACAAAGTTTATATCAAGTTTCGAAATTAAAGATCGACATTATGAATTATCAAAATGATCCATAAAGACACCTTGACGCAAATCAAATTTTGGCGAGAGATTAACGTTTTATCAGTTCAGAGGACCTGCCCAATCAGGACTTTCCAAGTTTGATGTAATTCAGAAGTGTTTACGGGAGTGAGGGCTGTAGGCGATTAATTAATTTCCGTTTTAAATCCACTTTCGCAATAGAGGCAAGGTCACAAGCGTACCACTAAGATATCAAGATTCCATCATAAGTTTGTTAACTTCAAGGATAGTGATTCATTGCGGCTTCTTGATGTTGTGGTAGGATCCACCTAATTTGCATAGTGGAGTACCGACCATATAAATATGGTTGGTACCGGGAAGAGAAGGGAGGAATCAAGAGATTCAATCCAGAGACTCTGCCCGACTGCGACTAAGTCAACACATTCTCCAGGAACGGTCTTCCCAGGAATATACAAAAGACTATATGTAAATATTGTGTACCCTTTCTTGTTTCAATACATTTTGTTCTAAGTACATTTTGTGTTGTATTATTATTCCATGCATTAGTCAAATTTCAACACTTGAGCTAAACTTTTTCGAAGTGATGACGTGGAATGGTCATATTGAATCAATTCTTAGGTATGCGGCCAGGAAAGATGGCCCACTATGCCGTGCTAGGCAGTTATTCTCGTCGGAATATATTTTACCATTCGTCCATGTTCCGAATATTGTTTCCACATATGGTCTGCTGCATCTGATATTTTTAAATATGTCAGATGTAGTTTATTGTTAAACGAAAGATGACCTACGTATATAAAACAACCTGATTTATTAATAACCCTCTACGTTGAATGGGTTTTGGGTATTGCATTAGCTGAACATTTAATTAAAAAAATGAATCACTTTATAACTGGAGGAAAAACATCGCTGGATCATGAAGATCTGCAACCAGACATGGTGCTCAAAATAGAATCACTGATTGCGTGTTAGGACTAGAAGTGAAAAGGCTCAAATCGAACGGGTTCATTTCAGTGCGTTAAAAATCTATCAAAATGATCACAGTGTGTAACCATATTTGATACTTGAATCACGAACATTTTTAGATATCAAAAATGTACCTGCATTTATAGTTTGTTTCACATCGCAATGCACAACAATTTTAATAAAAGTCACTTTATAACTGGAGGACAAAAAATTCTGGATCATGAAGATCTGCAACCAGACATCGTGCTCAAAATAGACTGACTGATTGCATGTGAGGGCTAAAAGTGATAGATAATTCCCAAACGACCAGCTCAAATCGAACGAGTTCATTTCAGTGTACTAAAAATCTGTTAAAATGATCACAATATGTAACCATATTCCTCTTTGTTAATTTCGTTACATATTGTACGAGGGTAAGTAAAAAAAAATTATCAACAAATTCGCCATAACAGATATTAAAGTTTGTCACACAACCTTCTGCTCATGCGTGCTTATAGTTACTACTATTGTGGTCACGTGATCGAATTTTGAGCTTGCTCGCTTCAGTTTTCTTGCTGCTAGTTTTCTTGCAGTGTAGACATGACAACTTCCCTCACAGTGTGCGTCACGGAGAAACAAAGAGCAGTCTTTAGATTACTCTGTTCCGAAGGTGAGTCAGGAGCTGAAATTCATCGGAAGCTTCTAACACAGTACGGCGACAGTACTCCACTTTCTAGCAATGTGTATGAGTGGAATGAAAAGTTTAAATATGGCCGTACAAATGCGACGCGCGAAGAAGAAGCAGGACTCCTGTCAACCTTCAACAGCGACGAGAAGATTCAGCAAGCTCGACAGATAGTAATGGCGATCCGGCAAGTTATCATCGACGGGGGAGCATGTCCTTTATGGATTCGGATCATTGAGGAACACTGCTAGCAGAGCGGCCCTGTTTACACTGTAACAGAAACAAGAAAACTGGCGCGATCAAGCTCAAGTCGACAAATTAGTACCAGCAATACGCACGCACTAATGAGCGAAAAGCAGTGTGTTAAAACTAAAGATATTTTATAGCGAAAGAGCGGATAATTTTTAACTTACACTAGTAAGTAGTAATTTTATATTCGATTATTTGTCTTAGAAGCGAAGATGTGAATAGTTATTGAATGTTCTTACCATTGGTCTATGACGTAAAAGTTTCGAGATGCTCTGGTCTGTATATCTCTATCTATAAAAGGCAGGATGTGTGTGTGTGTGTGTGTGTGTGTTTAACGAATGCACGGCCGCAATTTTCGACAGATTTGCACCAAAATTTACATGCACATGCTCCAAGTTAGTGGAAATAATCTTTGTTTTCATGCTTCTACGGGAGTTTTCATGTAGTTTGCGGCCATTTTCTTCTGGCCAGAGTGAGAGCCAATGGCTGGCTGCCACGAATAGACAGGAATATTCTATTGGCCAGCGTGAAAGCCAACACCTGACTGACACGAATGTAATCTAGCATGCTAGTATGAAAAAAAAAATCGATAGCTGCATTCGTCACAAGTGGGAAAAAGTTAAATCTGCATGGCACTTTACTCCAATTGGCTCATTCGCTCGCTTAAACTCAACTGATTCCGCAGAACTGGTTGAGTGTGAAAAAGTATTTGTTGTTAACATTCTTTTTTCATTCGGTTTTTCCAGTTACGAGTCCTTTTTTAAAGCTGATCGTTTTGTGTTCATTTTGTTTAGTTCTTTTTTTCGTAACAGATTTAATGTTTAGTATAGAGCTTAGAAAAAATTTGCAGTGTGAGATAGGCAAAAAGTAAGGCATGTAGCAACATCAGCACAGCAAAGGGCACTCCTTTAAAGGCAAGGAAAAGCAAAAATATTTTAAGTCACGTGATAGCGATTGCTGTATGAGTCGTACGATTTTTGAATCATGCACGGGCAACGCCGGACCATGCTGCTAGTATACTATATATTAGTTCAATGTGGAATTACTAACTCACTAAATCCTCACGACTACATTAAAAAAAAAAACAAAGACCAATGAATTATTTATTTACTCTTCTTTGTCAGAGAAATAGAATTTATGAATATTTCTATATATTACTTTTCGGATTTTCAATTCACTAGACAAATAACCAGCAGATGTCTGCCAAAACGAATGATTAAATTTTTTATTAAAATTGTTGGGCATTGTTATGTGAACAAAATGAAATTTACTCAGAATTGATTACCATTATCTGTCAATAATAACATCTACAAAATAATTTCCGATATAATATACGCATTCAAATATTCATATTTAATCTGACACGATTCGAAGCGAATTACTATTTATAAAAAGAACTTCCTATCATAAACCACGAAACTAACAATCCCAATGTTTTAGAGATGGTCGCATCTAGAATATTATTAGAAAACATTCGGTATTCAATAAGCGAGCTGCCAATACTATTGTCGGATGAAATTCATAAACATATCTTCCGTAAAACAATTTTTCAGGAAAATACACCCTTGTGTAAATTAACTGAAACAAAACGAATAGTTCTCTTATTATTTAATTTATTTTTCTCGTGTTTTTCCAATGAAACATAACCCAGGGGGAGGCTATGTTCGTACTTCGTATGTCCATTCCACGAAGTCCTTCCTTTCAGATTGACCACAGATTCTCGATTGGATTTAAATCAAGAGAGTTTTCCGGCCAGTCTATAGTACTTAGATATGCTCACAGGTAATGCCTGCCAGTGTGTTCGTGTAGCGTTACAATTTTCGCGCGCTTCCTTGGAGCAACGTCCTTCACAGATAATGGCCGTAGGATAACTAATCAACAGTCGAGACAATAGTGTCTGGGTGTGATGAAAATCTGCTTCAATCATATATGATGCAATATTTCTCAAGGCCAAAAATTTCATCGTATACCCCAAAAATTGATTCATATTACTGCACACCACTGCAAATGACCTAATCTGAGAAAAAATAGAAATCGATGACACCCTGTGACTCCAATGGATCTAAAACTGGCCGCATGGTGAAATTATTTGTCCTACGGCCATTTTATGCGATAGACGTTACCTCAATGAAGCGTATGAAAATTGTAACGCTCCATAAACACACTGGCAAGACTTACCAATGGGGAAATTAAAGTAATATAGACTAGACCAGAAACTCTCTTGATTTAAATCCAGTCGAGAAACTATGGTCAATCTTGATGGAACGACGTACAAAGTAATATCTTGTGCACTTGGCGATCTTTCCTTGGAAAAATACGAAAAAAGAAGTAAATAATAACGGAATTATTCGCTTTGTTTCAATTAATTTGCACAAGAGTGCAGACCGACGCCTGATGATCAGAGGTCACAAGGGTTGCTACGTTGTGATTACAACAAACATGAGGAAATTCGTCCGAATATAAATTATGCTATTTCTTCAATTGAAAAAGGGAAGGTGTTATACGAAACAATGTTTATTGAGATTATTTTCATGCAAACGTGCCAAAAGAAATAAATCAGTGTCATAATCATATCAAATAAATGATTTCAAATTTCTATTGTTCAAAATATTCAACTCATTTCGTCTTCGAATAACGAAATCTTCTATGAAGCGAATGCGCGTGCGTCAGTGTCTCCGAGCGAGAGCCACCGGCGTCTGTGTGTATACGTGTGTGAGCCTACAGCATGTTATCTCGCAGTAGGTTGGTGTTAAATCAACCTGGATTGTACGTTGGTTTTTAGACGTTTATTTCTACCAGACAGTGTTCTAGAAAAAAGATGTTTGAAACTGACTTTTTTTTATTTATTCTTAGACTTTAAGGCTTATGATTGGTCAATAAAATAGACTTGCTTTTATCTGGTTGACTTTGACATGTTGTAGTAGTAAAGACGATATAATGTTACAGTGTTTTTATCGCTTGTTTTTTTTTTCTTTTTATTTTGTCTAAACTTAATTTGCTGTCAGGAGTGATTCTAGAAATAATGAATTTTACTGCCTTCAATTCAGTGAGCATTTTGACACTTAAGTGACACGACCCGGTTCTCTTGTAGCCAATTTTATAGTGTTTCCGCAATAATATATGTAGATACGGATATAAGAGCACAGCTATTTGCTTTTTCATATGTGGACGTGCGTGTGTGCGTGAGCATGGATATATTTACAAGTATACAGAAACAGTTTTCGTTGAACATATATTTATAAAACTGTTTATACACTTTCTATAACATCTATATATCTAGCTAGCTAACTATTCTGTTTAATTATCTATTTATGTATGAACAACTGTTTTTATATACCGTTGGCCAAAAAGTCCGTTCGCTTATTAAGTAATAAATTGACTTAATAAACTGAACAATAATGTTCACCTAACCAATATTTTATTTTAATGGCTTTTTGAGTTGAATCTTATAAATATTTCTGTAAGTCTATCTATCTAATATATATATATATATATATATATATATATATATATATATATATATATAAAGTGAACATAAGTCAACACTTAGGGCCACAGTCTGTTCCACGATTGCATCGTCAGCATGAAACAGACTGTCGCCCTAAGTGTTGACTTCTATGTTCACTATATATATTACATTATTATTATCTATCTCTGATATTGAGCACTTTATTCCATAAATGTCAACCTAACAAGCTATAAGATAAAAGTTTTAGTGGAAAAAGTATTAAATATAAATGGGATTACTCTTTCAATGTTCTGTCCATGGTTTTTTCCAATCGACTGCTTCATAGAAAATACTCAAAACTCCATCGAATTTCAAATTAATTTCTTCGTAGAGTGTTTTTAAAATTTAGATATTTATCAAACCTTAACCTCCCAAATATGCACGTTAAAGATACGCGAACTGACAGCGTCTAAAAATTTGAATGAAACCTGTTGTGTAATTTATTGGGGTTGTTGGAACGTCTTCCTTAATGTAGTCCTTATCGCTAACCACCTTTATCTAGAGACGAGACGCGTTAGATTTGAGCAACATCCAGCTGACACACTAGGGTTAAAATAGGAAACTAAAATGATCCATATGACACACTCATATCCTCTCTCACACCTCACTTCGTTAACTTTGCGTATACTTGATGAGGTCCGTAAAAAACGTGTGAATTTTTTTTCATCTTTCATTTCAGCTTTTGGAAGTAAAGTCTGATGATCCAGAACCCTGTTAAAGGGGTTATGGTGAAATAGCTTATTACATGGAATCTTAACGTGGTCTGTCTTTTATTCAAATATATATATATATAGAGATATATATATATATATATATATTATGAAATGGACAAAGTCCGACAATTATGATTATACAATTATAAACATAAAAATGTTACGGTTAAGCTTTTTAATCATTTTTCTTGTGAGCTTTCTTTTCTGGACAAAGAGTGTGTAAGAACTGTCCAAATGTTTTATAGTTCCGAGCGCTTTCGGCTATACCTTTAGCCATTATCAAGGATGATTCGATTTTTCAGCTTAATTGAGTGTGTGCATTATGTGTATGTCTTAGTGTGTTGTAGGGATGTTTTTAATTTCCGAATACGGTTAGCACATTGTGGCCTTGTTCTTAGTTAATCGTGTTAAGAGTTGGCTTTTTCTTTTTTATTATTAAAGCTTCCATTATTTTTAGTCTTTTTTGCAGGTGGATGCAGTTAATATATTTGTGTTTTCTACTAGTATTTTTCTAATGGAGTCTGGTAAATTTGTGTGTGTTTAAATGGGTTCTAATGGAGCTGTGATCAGATAGATGTTACGTAAGACGTCTGGATAAGCATGTGGTTGTGTAACCGATGTAATTATTTATGAGTCCGGTTTGGTAAGGAACGCAGTTCCTTAAAGGGCATTTGAACTCATAGATAATGTTTGTTCTTTGTAATTTTGACTTAGTTGGTATGTTGTTATTTTTGAGGATAAGGTCAGCTGTCAGTGTGCTAACTGTATTCGGAAATTAAAAACATCCCTACCACGCACTAAGACATACACAGAACGCACACACGCAATTAAGCTGAAAAATCGAATCATACTTTACTTTTCTTAGATATCATGACAGCAGCGTAAATCTTTGTATCTACCAAAAATCAACTAATAAAAATGACTTAATAAACTTCTTTTCGCTTCCCAACAACAAAATTGAATCCGGAATGATCATTTTAACCTGAGCATAATTTATTTTTACACATTTTATTTATATGGATTTTAAATTTCCCAGAAATTATCATTGATAATATATCAGAGATTTATCCAGTCAGTTAAGGTTTCACGATATTAACCCTCAATGAAGGACAGATCGATTCCATACTCATGTCTCACGCTCTTGCAATCTTCAGACAACTAGAATACAAATGCGCGTGTAACATATATATAATTTATTATTATTATTATTATTATTATTATTATCATTATTATTACTTGTGTATGTTATGTTTCCTGCTTTATGTCTTGTAGAGCCGGGTCCAAACTATGGTTCTTAGGCCCTATAGGAGAATTATCATTTAACTTATAGCTGTGTTTCTTAGTATATGGGATGTTCCAAGTAGTGCGATTTACTGGGCAACTTGTATGTTGATGTTACCTGAGACACTGGTGGTAAAATAATCCATTCCTTTTCTCACGTGTGGGACAGCCTTACTTTTCATTCCCTTCATCCTGCTAATACTGATCTCCAGGTCCTTTTATTTAGTTTTATTAGGTTGGTACAAAAATAATGACGTAATAATGTCGTTCTTTGACGTTAAAAAATACGTTAAAAAACGACATTATTACGTCATTATTTTTGCACCAACCTAATATTTGGACATTTTCTCAATAATTTTCATGGAGGTGTTTTTTCACAGATGGTACTGCTATGTCAATAAGCATAATCTCCCTGAATTTCTTGTCTTATAATATACGGTCTGTTGGCTTTTCTTTCACCGTCAGTTTGAATTGGCATGTCCTAGAGGATATTGACATCATTATTTTGAATAACTATGTCTGGTTGGTGTTCATACCGTCTCTCTCGATTTTGTGCTTCTTGCATATCTTCCAGTGCACATATGTCGCTACCTTGTTATGTCTGTAGGTATGTTCATTTTTTGCCAGTTCCGAACATCCTGTGACAATATGGCCGAGAATTTCATCATATTTTCTGCAGATACTGCATTATTATTATTATTATTATTATTATTTCCTTTGATTTCTGGCGTTTACACATTTCTTTCCGGGTCCCACCCAAGGACCTAAGGTTGGAAATGGGATCATGACACTTTCCACAGACAAAAAAAAATACATAGATAATCCCCTTCGTAAAGTGTGGGCTGTACTTGTGAGAACAATTTTAGTATCTCTTTGAGGCATGGACTTCCAGGAATCCCTTCGATTTCTCTACTGGAATCTTTTCCAACCAATCCTAGGGCTGCAACTACCACAAGGATTGTTGATGTTCCCATATGTCACATTTTTGAGATTTCTGTTTCATGGTCCTTGTATTTTGAGAGCTATTTGAATATCCACAAAGATACATTGCAGTCTGCAGGGACTGCCATATCAATAAGGAGGCACTTTTTTTATTATTTGTGGTCTTTAATAACAATATTTGGGTGGTTAGCTTTGATTGTTCTGTCAGTGTGTATTGTGTAGTTCGATAAAATTGTAACAGGTCCTATCTCCGTAACCGGGTCTGGGTGGTGTTCATATTATTATTATTATTATTATTATTATTATTATCATTTTTATTTATCTTTAAATATGTTTATATATGCGAGTATCGACAAAATAGATTTAAAAAATAGAAAATCAAATAAGGGATCGCCATAAAAAAAAGCCAGCGAGCCAGACACACAGATAAGAATGAATGACCATTTATTTTTGCACCATGGATACGCCTTTCTTGAGGCTCACCTACCCAGTCTGAGATTGTTTTTATCCGTCTCAAAATTGTTGACATTGCGACTGTCTGCATACAATGGAGTTTGCAGTGTCGCTTCACCATTTTGGCTCTCGCTAGCGATGCGGAAGCCCCGGATGTTGAGTCAATAGCCGAACCGTGTCGAATACAATCGGCCAGGCGAAGAACGTTTTGCGATATATCAATATTAAGTCGTGTCTTTGCTTGTGGAACTCTCTTCCGGTTTCCTGCTTTCCAGTCAACATAGATATTCAAAATATTAAATGCAACGTCAATCGTTTCCTTTGTCTTCTCAAGTTCAGTTTTCTTATTGTTTTCACCGGTTAATAATGTTTTCTTTTTCTCATTATTTCACACTCAGTAACCCCTTGCGCCTTAATGTTCTTATTGTCTTGCTTGGGGTGAAATGATTAATAAAAACCTCCTATATCCAATATATCCAGAATATCTTAGCTGTTTAGAGCAGGTGTTTTTTTTTTTTTTTTTTGCAATTTGTCCAATTTTGAAAATCACAATCCGATATCTTTACGATTGTCCCATGTTATTTATACAACATCCCTGTGTTCCTGTAATCACTGGTACTGTAATTACTTTATTTCGCAAACTTTCAGAATGTCATACTTGACATTACTGTTTTTGCCGATGTTCTCCTTTACGTTGATTTCAAGTCTCATGTCAAATTGACAAGAGACTTCTATCAGGTAGAAAGTCTTTTTTTTCTGTTCGTCCGGCAGGGCTAAATCTGGTTTATTCCTTTCTAAATTTGTCACTGACTGTATCGGAAAATCCCACAGGATTTTCACT